TGTCAGATGAGCTAACAACCGATGAACAAGGGGAGCCTGTTACATATCCACCCCCACCGCTGATAATGCATGATGTCAGATGAGCTAACAACCGATGAACAAGGGGAGCCTGTTACATATCCACCCCCACTGCTGATAACAACTTTTAGGACACCTTCCTTTCCCATCTATAATCAGAGATACACCCTTCCTCCCTCCATCCCTATCTACACTCAGCTGCTGTGAGCCACACTTCTGACAGATGCCATGAGAAGCCAAAACAGAAGATAACTGCTGAGAATCGACACGTGTGAAGTCGGCTCGCGAGATTCCTAACTGCTTACTCGTCACTGTAGCATGATAGCGGGGTTGTTAGAGCTAATATACAGTGCCCGGTGTTCCAACTACGGAGGCCCACAGACCACATGTGTGTGAGTATCTCTGTATTGCTGCGAAAAAACACTCATAGTAGATTTTTACAAGTTCTTCGTGGAGATTGGATCGAGGAAAATTTCTTGCAGACTCATCCCACACCCTGCTAAAAAAATACTATTAAAGTCCTAAATTGTAAATGAAGTAGCCTTACAACAGCCCCAATACATCCGTCACCACTTCCAGCCTTCATAACGCATGAATACATTATTTATAATCAAACATAATCTCACGAGACAAAATTATCATGCATTCCTCACAAGGTTAAATCTTGTCTGTGGCCTTCCAAAAATGTAGATGCTGGAACACCTTGCTCGTGAGCTTAGCACATGATCTTGGTGTATGACCTTGGTATGTATGACCTTCAGACTTTGGTACCGCAGTTAGATTTATAATGTACTATTTGAAAAAACTAAGATTTATAATGACTATAAGTTTATAAGACATATAAACTAGATTTATAATGACTATAGGATCGTTTCTCATATGCTCTCACCTTCAGTGTTCCACTCGTTCTCACAGGAACCCCAGGGAAGGGTCTTTGTGAAAGATGACACCATGTAATAGATCGCCCAGGCAATGATCATGTTGTAGTAGACGCCGATGAAGAAAGACACGACCGTCATACCGTAGCCGACGCCTGAAACGCAAGAACGTCTATTACTATTCTGCAAATCTGTCATGACATAGCCGACCCCCAAAATACAAGAATGAGTGATCGTGACAATGCATGTGATAGTACTGGTTGTGACAACATACATTAGAAGTGATGGTGACATCTCACAAAACGCTAGGGCTGTGACAACCTAGATCGTATACATTGTTAGTAACGCTCATAGGGTCTATGTCCCCCAGGGTACTGCCGGAACGTACCTTGGGTACGGTCCGGTATACCGGAACGTAC